CCACTGCACCTGGGGAGCCTTGTGCAGGGAGCTGGAGAGGGACCACTGCTCCAGCCTTTCCCCCTGTGCAGGAAGGTCAGGGAATCCCAGCTCTGGCCCTGGGGCCACTCGACATGTACCCCTCCTCACTCTCTGTGACCAGGGGTGGGGCTGAGGTGGCCAGGACTCAGGGCCCTGGTGGCCCACTGGGAACCCCATGGGCAAGGGATCATCCCCTGGTCCTCCCAGGGAAGGAGGGCACTGGTCCATATTTACTAGTAATGTCCTTTGTCCCTGAGAAGAGGCTGGATGGCGTTCTGCCAGGAAAGACACTCCAGGTCTCTGTGGGGAATTTCGACCTCAGGATGGGCAGTCAGTGCAGAATCCAGGGAGGAAGCCAACAGGAAGCTGTCAGCCCTCCTGTCCCCAGACAGGGAGGAAGTACCAGGCAGGACAAGCTGCCAGGTGCAAAAGCAAGATGGGAGGCCCAGAGAGAGCTGCAGCAGGGTGGCACTCAGCTCCTACCTACCAGGCCTTCAGGAGTCCCCCTGGGTGGTAGAGGCCAGCTAGGACTTGGAGAAGGGCTGTGGACTAGAGGGGGTGGGGCAAGGTGATTCCTAGGGGTTTGGCTGCATGCCTCCCACTACCAGGGCTCAGGAACAAGCACACCCACCTTGTCTCTGTGTATGCTGTGCTGAGCTTAGCTCCTATCTTTCCATCAGTCCTCGGTAATGGGACTGGCAAGACCAGTTGGTCTTCCCTTGGAAGGGCAGGCAGGGGACATCCCAGGTCCTGCCTCCGGGAAATCTGCACAGTCCTGCTATCTGTCACCACATGATGGCTCAGGACCTTACTCAGATTTCTGATAGGATTTTACTTCCAACATTCCCTGGTCCCATTGTGTGGATGATGTCATGCTAATTTGTGAAGACAGTTTCAGGAGTGAGTGAAGCAACTGTGCACACATATCTGCATGAGTTAGTGTGCTGTCACCCCAGTGAGACCCAAGGCTGTGGGCTGTCCTGAGGACCCCACAGGTGTCCAATTGGGTAAGAAAAGATGCACTACAGGAATGATGTGACAAACGGCCATTTCTTCTCTGGGAATCCTGGATTTCTGGGGGCCTTTCATTACTTGTTGGGTCAACACCTCTGTCCACTGAGGAAATAATAAGGGCGCCACGTGGACTTGGACTAGTGTGATCCCCAGCAGGAACATGTGGAAAGCAAACACTTGATAGCAGAGGCATGGGCTCTGGGTGTTCTCTACAGGGCACCACAGGGCAGGTTAGTGTCACCTGTGTGGTAGATGACCATCAGGCTCTCTGGCAAGAACAAGGACAAGTGGAGCTCCCTCAGAGCTCTGGAGGGAGGCTGAGCCTAGACCCTCCCCTCAGAGCAGCAGTTTCCGGCAGTGTTCCAGGCTTTGCTGGAAGTGAAGCCCCTGACCAAGGGTTTGGGTCACAGTGCACATGGCCACCTCCCTAGGATGGTGGGTGGCCTATTTCCCCATCTCAATCTGCTGTGGCAAACTCCTCGGCTTCTCCTGAGTTGCTGGTGGCATCCGCCAGGTTCTTGTGAAACTGCCTCAGCCCCCCAGGTGGCCACCCCAGTGCCTGGGACCTCACAGGAAGGCCCCACGGTGTGTGCTGTAACCGTGTGCTTGGTGGAAAGATGTACAGCCAGGGCACCGAAGCATCTGGACTGCTGCTGCAGTATGTCCTGCCATGGACACACCTGGTTTGAGATGGACGGAAATCTGAGCAGCCAATGGAGAATGGTGGGCAGCATGGAAGTGGGAACTGATGGGCCATGGCCGCTGATTGTGCCCTCCACTGGGCAGTGTTGTCACGCCTCACCTTGTTGATGGCAAATCGATCAGTGGAACATGGTCTAGTGGCCTTGACCAGATGTCCCAACAAAATAGTGAACTCAAATGCTAGTACCAAAGGCCTTGAAGTGTGTACTGCACGTGTACCCTGCCGGCTGATGGTGACAGGACACCCATGTCACAGACCAGGCTGTGCGCACTAGGCCCAGCACATGCCCTGTCCTGGCCTTTTCATCCTCGATAAAATACCGAGGCAGCCAGGTTGGCGGAGCGAAGGGACGGCTTGTTCCAGTAGCAGATCCAGGTCCCATTTGGAAGCCCCCCTTGGCGAGACGCAGTGAAGTTCTGGAGAAGGTGTAGCCCATTTCCACACCCACATGACGGGCTGGGCTGCCCTCCTAGGCACCTGAAGTGGGTGGGCACTCTGGCTCCTGCCTCCAGACCTTCCATGGCAAATGGTGACTGCCCTTTGTCTGTGGCCAGACATGGCACGAAGAACAATTGCTGCTGTGGTCTTTGGCTGATCTGCCTGGAAGCTGTGCTGTTAACACAAATGCTGTGTGCACGTCCCCGCTGTTGCCTGCCTCAGGTCACACATGAAAACCCCTGTTACTGCCTTCTCTCCTCTCTCCTCCATAGCAGACATGCTCAGTTGTGTGTGGTCCTGTGGCTGCTGGCAGAGAAGGAGGATTGTTCTTACTTTTGAATAACTGTTCTCTGTCTCTTTTCATGCTCGTGCCTCTAGAGCTCTGTGCACACTGCTCACAAGCTGGCACCACCTCTGCAAGGCCGGGAGCCCTCACAGGCTCAGATCATGGGAGAGGGGGCGTGTGAGATGGTAAGAGCTGTGACAAGGGGTGTCACGTATGGATTCAGCTTGACCTGATTGCCACCATCTTGACTCTTCACTGCCATGGTTGGCCCAATAACCCTGGGTGGTCTTTCTTGAACAGTCTCACAGCCACCAAAAAGAGACTTTCAGACCTTTGCAACCAGATCCTGGCTCCAAAAGATACCTGTGAATATTTCTAAGATGAACAAGATACACACAGGGTGAAGTCACTTTTGTCCTAACCTGTATATATTCCCTTCTTTCCCCCCGCACTGTGCCAGGACACAAGAGGTGAGCTACAACCTGCTCCCATGGGAAGTGCCTGAATAAACTGCTCCCTTCCCTCCTCCAGGTCTGTCTGGCTCTTGTTCTCCTGGCTCCTTGGGACCAGCCCCCACACAGAGACAGGATGATTCTGGGGCAGAAACTGCATTAACACTGAATCTGAACATTCCATTCTTTGTGCGCTAATGACAGTCCAAATATGAACAAACATCATGAGGTAATATTGCATTACTAAACAAAAATGAAGAAAAATGAAAAACTGTACAAGGAAAAGGAAAATGGCAAAATGGGGAAAAATTAAAAAGGGAGAGAATTTACATAAAACACTGCAGACTGCTCAGCCAGCCTTCAGAAGCCCTCAGATGGCTCATTAACACCGCTCATTGCACTAAAGCTAACAGAGAGGTCTGCATACCAGAGTCTCTGGAACCCCCATTTCCACAGACACAAACCTGGAGATAGGATTCTGGTGCCAGGAGCTGGTTTGAAAGGTAAGGACGGGAGACGGTCATAGGAAGAGATGGCTCATATTGTCTGTCCTCAAGAGGGCCCCCATATCTGGAAGCCCACCCCTGTGGGGCACTGGGCTCAGCCAACCAGGAATTCCTGAGCAGACCACGCCCCTCAAGTTTTCTCTCATGACCTTGGGGCAAGGGAAGGCTGAAGGCTGCTCCTGGGGTCACTATGCCTCGATACTTCACCTGCCACACAGGCACTGAGAGGGCTCTAGCTGATTACACTGGAGGGCACAGAGGGGGCAAGTCAAGGGCTCAGACAGCCAGTGTCCCGTGACCAGTGCAGTGCGTGACTGTCCTATTGAAACTGCTCAGATAATGGACCTTTCCTCCAGGTCATTCCAGAGACCAAGGCTCAAGTGACTGTGTTGGATACGTGTGTTTCCTCTGTGCTGGGCTATAGCTCCACCCCTAACCCTCTGTGGTGCACCCCACAGACCTGCTTGTCCTCCGCCTGAGCCATTCCATTGCTTCCTGGCCAAGCTTCTTGGAAATGGAACTCTTTCTTCCTCAGACACCTTGTAGCTTGGGTCTGCAGGTGGCCTCAGCTCCTAGGGACAGGTGCCTGACCAGATCTGAAGGTGCGCAAGAGCAACTCAGCATGGAGCAGAGAGGGCCCCTGGTCACCAGGAAACATAGGTGTCAGCTTCTCCAACAACCACCTGTGGTCTGTGTCCACGGGACAGAGATGGGGTTAGATGATGCTTCTGGCTAAGTTGTTCCTGGCTCTGGAGGAACCAGAGCTATTCCCCTGTAGAATCTCTGTTCCTGACAGGCAGTAATAGATCCTCACTGGCCCAAAGCAAAAGTGGACATTCTGTCATTTCCAGGAAGTGCAGTGTCAAAATATAAATAATGTCCTAATACCACCTCTAGTTTTCCTCTGGTGAAATACAGAACATAGAAAAGCAGGCAGGAATCCTTGGTGCCCCTCACCTGGAGGTCATCACTGACACATTTTCAGGTTCCCTCTGGGCTTGGTTTTTAAGCACTTTTGGCCCACTGGAAATGACACAGGTGACATGATCCATGCCAGTCGTCTTATTCACTGGGCAGGGATTAAACACTGTCCCTGTCCCTCATCCATGAGGCTGCAGGAGCTCCCTAGGGCCAGGCAGGCTGCCGTCCATCCACTCTGGAGCTCTCTGCCACATTCCAGCAAAGACCATGAGACCCTCAGGGTCTGGGGCCTCTCCCTCTCCAGCTTCTGAGGGATCTGGTTTGCCCTGGCCCCTGCCCAGCCATGCCCCTCCCACTCCATCCCCCACACAGCCAGCCCCCTCCAACCCAGCATCCTGGAACCTGCTGTTCAGTCTTCCTGGTAGATATGCCTCCTTCTCATCAGAGTGTCCCTGCAGTTACAGTTAGGACCCGGAATGTCCCCCACAGGCTCCTGTGTTGCAGGCTGGATTCCAAACACCACCATGCCCAGAGGAGGCACTTTGGGGAAATGATGGACCATGAGGGCTCTGAGCTCACCCTGCATTACTCCACGGAGGGGTCCTGACTGAATGGACTCGTGGGACGAGGTGGGACAGTGGGAGGTGCTGGGCTGGAAGCAGGGCCCTGGCATGCCATCCTAAAGGGCACCTTCCCCAGGCTCCTCCCCTGTGCCTCTCTCCTAGCTGCCCTCATGTGGTTAGCAGCTGTGACCCTGATCCACCCTGACATGGGGACCTGCGTAACCACACCCTCATGGGGATGGGGCTGCCCTCCCTCTCTGAGAATGGCCTTCATGTAGCACAGAGGAGGTGACAGAGTGGTTGTCACCATGACACTTCCACTTCTTATAGTGGTTACTGATTCTTGACACATCTTTGATTCCCTGAGTATTCACTGATTTGATTTACTAAGTATTTCCCTAATAATAAACATTATTCCTCCCTTTTCTCTAGGGGAGCCTGTTGTGAGTTTAACTGTGACTCCTTTTCAAGAAATGTGCCATAGTTCTTATCACCAGTACTTTCCCTGTGGGGCCCTAGTTTCATCACGTGCTGATTATGAGATCACGCTGCTGCCTACCTTCTAGTATTTTAAAACACTTAGGACAATGTGTGCCCATGGATCTGAAATCTTTTCACATCTCATCTGCTAGTTCCTTATACTTTCTATCCCAATTTTAAAGATGACAAAAATAAAGTTGAGAAAGTCCTGAGCTCAGCCTGGTGATGAGCACATTGCAGAGCAGGGAACAGCGTGCATCCTGATCTCCTGGAAATCACATGTCCCACCCCCATGCACATCCCAAGACAAGGGTGACCTTATGTCCCTGGAAAATCTTCCAGTCTGAGGTCTCCACCAGTGGGGGCACAGATGCTGTCTCTTCTGCAGGCAGCTGGAAGCCATGACCTCAGCCCACCTCTGACTGCACAGGATGCTTTAGACAGCCACACAGGCATAAGCGTCCTCTGGACGGGTATTCTGCACACAGAAAACCCAGCACTGTGCCCCTCACCATGCCCTGGGTGGAGGGCTCTGGGCCAGCTGTGCTGGGCACACAGTGGAGCACACTTCCTCTGGCTCCCCTGGGTCTGGCTCTCCTGGCAGCTCCCATGCCACAATCCACTACAGGAGCAGCAGGGTGACCACCACATCTACTGGCATTCTGTCCACCTCTTACATTGAAGACCCCTTATTCCTGAATTCAGGGTGTGTGACTTTGGGGTTCAATACTCATAGGATAACTATGGCTCTCCTTGCTCCTGGCTCTAGCTTGGCTCTAGATTTGTTTTGTGGATACAAGGAAGGAGTACTTGCTTCTCTGCCTTTACTACTGCCAGTGTCTAGGGTGGAAGGAGAGTGACACAGGGGCCCCCAGAGAGCTATGCTGGAGCGTGGTGGGGGGGTGCATGGCAGGCACATGGCCCCTCATCAGTCCTTGACCCTCTCTTGGTGCTGCTCAGGCAGATGGTATGCAGAGGACCAGTGGGTAAAGTTGGAAGGGCAGGCTCACGACACTTGGCATCTTTTCAGGGGTTGAGAAGGATGGAAGTTCGGGGGATGGGTAAGTCCCAACTGCCAACAGCAGGGCTCAACTGTGACTTTGGAACCCAGCATGTGGTTTCTGTGTCTGAAGCCTGAGATATGTGGCCATCACCTCTTCATCCACTTTTCCATTGAACAAGGACTCCTGGATCCCATCAGGAATATGAGCACAGTGAGTCTGTGGCCCTGTGGTGAGGAGTGGCTCCCGATTAGGTCCCAATGACCTTTCCTCACTTGTTCAGCCCTGGTGCCCAATGGTGGTCTTGTGTGGGGGTGAGGGAGTTCCAATGACCCTTTCCTTCTCCATGGAAATGTGGAGGAGTCTCCTGCATCTTCCATGAGGAATACGTCCTAAAGCATCGCCAAGACACCTGCCTCCATGGGGAAGAATTTGAAGAGGACTCCCAGGAACCCTACAGCTTCAGTGGATCATTGTGCTCCTCAACCCACCGCAGATCTGGGCACATGGTAAGAGAGTCCTGCACAATGTCCTGAGTTCTGGTCCAGCCGAGACCTGCTGTGCAGTCCACAGTCACCGAGTTCTCTCTTCCTTGCAGCATCCAGCAGGATACCTCCACTCTCAGCCTCCTGTGAGCCACGCCCACCTGGGGCAGCAGCAGGCAGCAAAGGTGACCCCAAGTCCCCAGGCCTCCTCTCCTGCATGCTGCCGTCCTCCTCACCTCCGCTCCCGTGCTCCATCACAACGTAGCTGTCCTCACCTGTCTGGATAACATGGAACAGCTGGATGACATTGGGTGACTCGAGCTTCCACTGGGTTCTCTCCTGTCAATACTCTGTGGGGGACGGAGCTCTGCTGTCCTTTCTGAATGACATTCATGGACACCCGGGCCCTGTTAGGAGTTGCCTGGCTAGTTTCACCTTG